AGTCTTCGATATATATTTTATAGTTTGTCGTTCAGAAATCATAGTAAGTCAAATAAGCAAATAAAGGAGAGCAGTTAGCTTGTAAGAAAAATTTAGTTACATTTCTTATGCTTTTATTTATCCAATAAAAAAATGTTATATCTCTAGAAATCGTGGTCGATGTTGGTAATTAAATTAAATAAATACCTCAGATTGAAATTATTTCAGCTCAACTATTTTGAAGTATATGAAAAAAAAAAAAACTTTTAATTTCTTTAAAGCTCTCCTCTAAAAATAGTTTCATTTTAAAATCATTTAAAATTTTGTTGATCACAATTTGAGAAAGTATAACACGTTGTAACAATAATTTAACAGTTAGTTTTCAACACGTTCTTTTTGAATAATACATTTTTAAAATAACTTTGGATGGAAATAGAAATTATGTGTAATATTTATTATCTCTTACTTCTTTCTCTCTCTCAATAAAAATACTTCTACTGATATTTATAATAATGTACATAAGAAGAAACATGAAAGTTCGAGTTTTCTCATAATTATATAATTTTCTATAAATTTACTCACATACAGAATATCTAAGTAGTACAAGTATTCCAACTGTGAATACTGTGCGAACATAATCCATCATTAACACCATTAATTATATAAAAGTCTCTCCTTTGTACAAGCTTTGTGAGAAGTAGGCAATGGACGAGAACATGAACTACTGTGTAATTTAAAATGAAATCTAGTTAGATTTTACAAATTGCTAGCTTTTTAATCTCAGTTACAAAAGAAATATATATTTCTAATGAATAGGTAATGAGACAAGTTGCATTTCTCCTATTTAATTCTATAACATACAATTCTATTATATACATAATAATTTAATAATTCTACAATATACAATATAATATAACAATTAAATAATATACTTCTATTTAGTAATTCAATTCTTACATAAAATTCTCAATCAACTTATTGTTAGAGAGTTTATTAAAGCAAGCAATTTATTTTAGTTACCATGTATAAAACGCACATGATATATGTAATAGGAAAAACGAATCATTAATCAAATCATTATACAATGAATTTTTTCCTTCACGAGTTACAGATATTTTAAACCAATTTTCTAAAACTAAGTAACAAATTGCAAATACACAATTACCTAGAAATAATTTTTCAATAAAAGCAAGAATAGAAAAATAATTTTCAGAATTTCTACTTAACTGTCTTCTAATCAGATTATTTATATTTCTACGAGTATATTTTAATGTATTATTTTTATTCTACATTTTAATAGATTTCACGATATTTCCCATTCTTTACAATCAATTATCGATAATGTCTTCTTTTTTTTTTTTATATATAATTTCGAAACTCCTTCTTCACAGTTTTAAAAATATTGCTTGTTATAATATTAAA